TGAGGGCCCAGTGATGTCTGTAAGTGCACACTGCTGGTTGTGGGGCAGGCTTCTGCCCGGGGGCTCGTGCTGGTGTGTTTTGGCATTTGGGGAGGGGACTGTGACTCAGCGGTGTGGGGACAGGGAGTCTGGGGATGTGCTTGATTTTGCTGTGAGTGTTCTGGTGGAGCCGAAGACTGAAGAAACTGAGGCTACGATCATGAGGTGGCCGCGGGGTGACATGGGGTCAGGTGGGCTGGCAGGTCTGGAGGCTCCAATGCCGGACGGAGGCAGGCCTCAGACCTGCAATTTCTGTGAGACCTCAGCCCTGGCCACATGCATGTCACTGGTGGTCCTGGGCGGGTTGGGGGTTGCAGGCAGCCTGGAGGTACAAGTGCACCTCGTCCTTCCACCCTCCTGGAAGCGTGTGCAAGAGGGTTTATGGTGGTGCCCCACGGGGTCCTGGCCCAGCCAGCTCTGTGCAGGGGCAACCCACGCACCAGGAGGCCCACTGAGGAGATGAGGTACAGGAGGCTGGAGGACTGCAGCCCGGCTGGTGCAGGAGGTGGTGGGACCTGGTCCCTGTTCAGCTGTGACTCTTGGGGCGGCTTGCTGAACACCCCACCCAGGCAGGGACCTGGGAGGTCAGAGCCAGGATGGGGCCTTGGTCCTTGGATATCCATTCAGCCCCTTCCTCTTCCGTTTTACAACTAGGGAAACTGAGTCATAGAGGGTGTGGTGACCTGTCCAGGCTCTGGGAGCAGTGAGGGCCATGTCTGGGGCACGCAGGGCTGAGTGCTGTAAGAGGTCCTGCCAGGGCGACCCCGCTGAGAGCCCCCAGAGAAGGGGAAACCGTCAGGGTGGCACTCCCACCCTATCTCACAACCCAGGGAAAGGCTGGGGTGCTGGAAAGGCCCAATTTGCAGATGAGGGAGGCAAGGCTGAGTGAGATCCCATAGCAGTAGGTGTGAGGCCTCTGTCTGCTCTTGGCCCTGGGGATACAGCGGGATGTTACCAGGGCCCCCCTGCGCTGGAGGAATCAGGGCCCCCAGGCCTTCTGGCTTCATGTCCAGCAACCCCTCCCGCAGCCCTCATGCTGCACTGATATCTTGTCCTCCACGCCTACCCAGGCCAGACAGCCCCTTCCCTATGGGGCCCCCCAGCAGAGGGAGGGAACTGGCCCAGCCTGGAAAAGGGAGCCAGCACTACCATCAAGTGCTCCTCTCCCCACCACTTCCTGCCTTCCAGGCTCCGCCCCATCTGTGCCAGCCCCACCTCCACCCCGAGGAGCAGCCCCTGCCCAGCCCCAGTGTGGCCCCTGGGGGAGTTAACGATGCCCAGACCCCATGGTGCCACTGGCCAAGGCTGACCCTGTAATTATAGCAGTTAAGAATAGCCTCGCAGGGCCAGCTAGGCCTGGAATTTCTCAAATCACTCCCAGATGGGCGGCCAGACCAGTGTCCCGCCCCCTTCATCCCCCAGTCCTGGACACTGCCCCACTGGGCCCACGCCCTTGGCAAAGGAGCTGGGACTCTCCAGTCCTCTACAAAGCTGGTGGACGCCAGGGATGCGTGCCAGCCTCCAGGCTGGCCTGAGAGGTTGTGGGTCCCCTACCCCCAGGCTCCCCAGAAGCCAGAACCCCTCAGAAGCCCCCCTGGGGTGTTGGGGGCTGCTGAGTGAACTTGACTGAAGGTAGGAAGTGTGCAGGGTGTCAGCTGCGGGCACGGCATGGGTCTCCACCGCACCCGCTCAGTTTCTTTTCTATTTTACAGATTTTCCATCTCCATTTGGGCAGAACAGTATGAACTCTTATAAGAGCTATAGGGGGCCAGGGGTCAGGCACATGCCCCTCCCCATCCTCTCCCAGGGAGGACCCAGGGCCCCACCCTCCCAGGGGCCTCTGTCTCTGCTCCCATTTGTGCCCTTCCCCTGCTCATCTGTGTTGTTTGTGGAGCATACCTCCCCACGTGGGACGCGCAGGGCAGCAGGTCCTATCTGTAAAGCTGGGCTCGGGCAGCAGGTCCACAATGGCTGCCCTGTACTTCCTGTGCGGGGTGGAGGTGGGGGGTTACCGGCAGGGCCCGGGCTAACAGAGCAGCTCGTGCTCCAGTCCAGGAGACACAGAAACACCACCACCTGTCTCGGGTGCCCTGCTCCTGGGCTGGGTGAATGGTCAACAGTATCGGCCCTGAGCTGAAGGCAGATGGAGATTTTTCTCCACATGTTAGCAAAGAATAAAAGCTGAAGCTGGAGAAATCGATCTTCTCTTGAGGTCGCCCTGGCAGCAAGCCTCACAGGGTGGAGGCTGGGAGTCTGCTCTGCTTCTTCACACTGAGGTGTCCACCTCTGGCCAGAGGCACTGGCCCTGCATCCCAGCGAGTTCCCTGGAGGTTGGGAACCCCCTCCCTGCCTGCCTTCTGCAGCTCTCAGTAGCCCCTCCCCTCTCCTGGAGGGCCAAGCCCTCCCCGCAAGGCTGGTACCCCCACCTCCTGGGCCAGCGAGCAGGTGTTGGGATCCGTCCCTGCCTGCTGTGAGCAAGCTGCTGTCTTACCGTTTCCGGCCTGTGATTCTCTTCTGTAGAGGGATCGCTGGACGTGAAATGGGAGCATGTGTAGCCCGCGTGGCACAGGGCCTGTGGCAGCGAGGACCCCAGCAGTTGGGGGCTGGCGTTTCCCCACAGCAGGATCACCCTGGGTAGTGGCTGTATCTTGGCTCGGTCCCCGACTCGCTCCCTGGCCCTCCCTTCGTCCCCCAGCCCCTCATCTGATGGGATGCCCGAAAACCTTTTCTGGGAGGGCTGGTGTGAGTGCTCAGGCCCCTTTCTGTGGGCCCCACCACTCACCCCGCCCCTGCAGCCCCACTAGCCAGGTTTAGCTTTGCAGCGAAAACATTCATTCAGCAGCCACTGTGTTTAGCAGCATAGAGCCACAATGGCCCCTTTGACGGGGCCGCCGAAGGGGAGGGCAGGCCTCGCCAGAGCCATTCCCCTAATGGGACCCAGGCCCATAGGAAATCCACCTGGGCTGCTGCCTCCGCCGCCTCAGGAAGAAGGGGCCCCACCCAGGCCCGCTGCCACCACTCTCTGCCCACCATGACCCACCTCCTCCCTTCTCATGCCAGAACCCTCAGCAGCCGATAATTGAATCCAGAGCCTCGTGTGGCCGGGCCTGACTCTGCACTGACATCAACGCCCAGAACCGCAGGGCCTGCTCGCCAGGCCTGGCTGGGCTGCCTCCTTCCCGCCAGGGTGAGGCTGGGGACCAGGGGCCATGACCCATGCAGGGAGATGGGCATGGGGCCGCAGGGAGGCTCGCTCTAGCCTTTGCAGGGCCTCTCTGGCTCCAGGGGCATCTCCCTTCCTGCCAGAGGGTAATAGGAAAAGGTGCTGGGTGCGTGTGTCTGTCACTGTTCCTAAGCTTCCAGCACCTGGTCCAGGCCAGGGTTGTGCATAGCATCCCTGGGGGCCCTGCCCCCACCTTGGCCTGTGGCTTCCTGGAAAACACTCCCACTTCCGGGGTTTCTGGAAAGCCTGGGTACTTTACTCAAGTGCAGAGAGTAAAGGGGCATCACAGGGCCACCTGCCCCTAATAGCCCTGGCTCAGTCCCTGCCTCCTCACCCAGCAAAGAGCTCCTGCCATTCAGGATCTGTGCTGCTCCTCTACCAAGGCCCCTTCTCTGTAGCTAGAGCAGGAGACTGGGAGCAAGGTCTCCCAGCCTGAGCCCATGCAGAGGGGCAATAGGACTGCAGGAAGGGCTGGGCCATGTGTGCCATCTGGTCCCAGACCATCCATGAGGGCCTGGCAGGACATGGCTCAAGGCACCTCCTCCACAGAGGAAGGCAGGTGGTGAACTGCTCATCAGACCCATCTCTGAGGAGGGACCCTTGGGGGTTATCTTGGCCTGCGTCTGCCACGAGCGTCTCCCCAGCCTCTCCCAGGAGCCCTGCAGCTCCTGCTGGCAGAAGACTGGGCCTGGGAAGGGTAAGGCTGCCCTAACCGTTCCTCTGCCCGGAGGTTGAAGTGGCCCCTTTCCTATCCCTGCTCCCTCCTGGTTCCCAGTCTCACTGGGAGGCTGGTCCAGGCACCTCAGTCGAGCGGACTGAGCAGACACAACCCAGGGCAGGACAGCCTAGGGCATGGACTGAGCAGACACAACCCAGGGCAGGACAGCCTAGGGCATGGACTGAGCAGACACAACCCAGGGCAGGACAGCCTAGGGCATGCTAACTAGGGCCTGGTGCCCGCTGGGGAGAGGGGTTCCTGCCCCCAGCTTCCCCACAGAGAGGGCTGTCCCTTTAGGCCAACCCTGCAAGCCCCCACCCTCCCTTAGTCCAGCCCACATACCCTGGGGCCATGCCTGAGAAACATGCTTGTTTCTTTTCATCTTTTATTTTTCTTACAAAAGGCTTTCATATCATCATTTGTCTTACAAAAACCAAAGTCCTTGTCTCTGAGTTTGAAAAACATTTTCCCAGAATAAATGGGAAAGGATCTTTTATAAATATATTTTAAAAAACAAAAGCAAAACTTGTTCCTAAAGCATCTTTCTTTCCAGTTTCTTTTGTTCCTTCACTTTCTGGGGCTGAGGCAGTCTCACCCACCCCATCCCCAGTCCCACTCTCCCTCTGCTCTCTTTTCTGGGGGCTTCCTTCACTGGCCCCCAGAGTCTCCTTGGGGTGGGGGGCTTGGCAGCCCCGGGCCTGTGTTTCCAGCACACGGCAGGGCCCGCCCCACCCCAGAGGTTGCATGTTGCAGAAGACGGGGCTGACGCCATCCTCTAGGCACTCGGGCGGGGCGGGCGGTGTGGGGGGACCTTAGAGGTTATCACCTGGGTCCCAGCTTCTTACAGATGAGGAGAACAAGGTCCAGAGACGGGCAGGGACTTGCTATGGTCACACAGCCCCGGTCCTGACATGTCCTCATCGTACAGATCTGAGAACTTCCTTGATCTGGCAGCAGGAGGGCCCTGGCCAGTCCCAGTGGGGCCGAGAGCCTGGCCCCGACCGTCCATCACTCCCAGGCTTAGATGTAGGGCTTAGCTGGGAGGGGCCCTTGGGGGCTGGGCCCCGAGTAGCCCATGAGCGGCACCTCACACTCAGGCCCGCCAGGCGGGGCCTCCCCACCACCCTCAGTCGCCTTGGGGCCTGGCTCCAAGGGGGCCTTCACCCCCTCCAGCTCCAGGGGCCCGGCCCCTGGCCCCACTTGCCCTTTGCCCTGAGCCACAGCTGCCGCGGCCCGCCCCCGCCGCACACAGAAGGCCGCCCCCACAGCAGCCAGCACGGCCAGGAGCACGGCGGCCAGGGCAGGCGCAATCAGGAGTGGCAGGTTGCCCTCTTGGGCCTGGGTGACTGGGGCGTGGTTGGAGCGGACTGCCGGGGGTGTGCGGGCCTCCCCACAGGCCTCCTCGCTCTCAGGCACCCTCCCGGCCCCCAGGGGCCGGACGCAGATAGAGTAGGTGGCGTTGGGCCGCAGCTGGGTGACCGTGTACTCTGCGAGTGAGGCCGGCAGCCGCAGTGTCACCGGCCGTTTGTCAGGACCTGACAGGTTGCGGTAGGTGAGGCGGAGGCTCCTGAGCTGCACGGTGCTGCCCTGCAGGTAGCGCTGCAGTCCCACCCGCAGGGAGGTGGGGCTAGCGGGCTCAATGCCAAGGGGCAGGGGCTGGGGTGGCTGCATCGTGGCCGGGGCAGGGCTGGGCCTTGGCCCTGGCCTCACCCGGCTCTCACAGTACAGGCCCGTGAAGCCCTCAGGACACAGGCACTCCAGGTGGCCCCGCGCCCCCAGGTGGCAGGTGCCCCCACTGAGGCAGATGGATGCCGGGCAGTCCCGGGGCTGGGGGGCAGGACCCATGGTGGGCGGGGCGGGGGGCAGTCGGCTCAGGGCCTCAGTGGTCGGCTCCGTGGGGCTGAGCCAGGTGGGAGCCATGCTGGAAGGTGGGGCTGTGGGCGCCCACACCGTGGGCCTCATAGTGGGCACCGTGGCCGTGGTGGTGGTGGCCGGGCAGCCAAAGTCGGCGTAGTCAAGGTCCAGGAGCAGCCGGCCGGCATTCTTGGGTGGAAAGTGGCAGCGTGTCTCCTCGGGGCTGGCCAGCGCCACACGGCTCTCCCGCACCCAGGGGCCGAACCAGCTCAGGGGGCACACGCAGTTGAAGGGGTTGCGGGCAGCTGCCAGGAGCCGCAGGCGGGGGAAGAGGACCGAGAGCTCGTGCGGCAGGGCCTGCAGGCTCAGGTTGCTCAGGTCCAGCTCCTGCAGGGCTGCCAGGCCGGCCAGGTCCTCGGGCCGCAGCTGGGCAATGCGGGTGTTGCCCGCCAGCCGCAGGCGCGTCAGGCCCCGCAGGCCCCGGATGGCGGGTGGTGCGAGCTCCAGCTGGTTGTCGGCCACGTCCAGGTCATGGAGGTTGCGCAGGCGGCCAAAGAGCCCCTCGTCCAGCCGCTGCAGCCCCAGGCCGGCCAGCCGCAGCGCCTCCACGTTGGCGGTGTCCAGGATGCCGGGCTCCAGGGCTGGGAGGCTGTTGTGGCTGAGGTCAAGCAGCAGCAGGCGCGGCAGGTGCAGCGGGGGCAGCGCCCGCAGCTCGTTGTCCTGCAGCTTGAGCTCCAGTAGGTGGTCGAGCGCGTCAAAGGCACCAGGCTGGATGTGGCGGATGCGGTTCTTGCCCAGGTAGAGGCGCTCCAGGCGCCGCAGGCCACGGAAGGTCTCGTTGGTGATTTCCCGAAGCCTATTGGCAGTCAGGTCCAGGTTGCTGAGGTTGACCAGTGGCTGGAAGACCCCACCAGGCAGGCTGGCAATCTGGTTCTGTGACAGGTCCAGGAGCTGCAGGCCCGGCAGGCCGGCAAAGCTGCCCGCGTCGAGTGTGGTGATGCCGTTCTCAAAGATGTACAGGCCCACTGTGTCGGGCGGCACGTCGAGAGGCACGGTGGTCCCCTGGCGGGCGGTGCAGAAGACTGTCTGTGGCTGGTTGCACTGGCAGCCGGATGGGCAGCCCCGCGCCCTGGGCTCCAGGGCTGGCAGCAGCAGCAGCAGCGGCAGCAACAGGGGCGGGGGTGTCTTGGAGCGCATCTTCTGGTCCCTGGGAGCAGAGAGGAAAGCGGGAGACTGTGAGTCAGGGGCCCCAGGGGACAGCCACTCCAGGAAGGACCGGGAAGGGAATTCCCAGCCCCCTTCTCCACTCCCCGCCCCCAAACCCAACAGCATACAGTACTTATGAGTCAGGTCCCCAGTGCCTTGGCTGGGTTCCTGTCCCTGCCCTGTCACTTCTTCGCTATGTGACTTTGAGCAATCACATGACCTTGTTATGATATCAGTTGCTACTTCCTGCGCTGACACCAGGGTTCGGTGGGCTGATGCACACAGAGGGGGGCCTGGCCCCCAAACACTCAGTGACCACAAATAACCCCCTTCTCCTTAACTCCAGCCCTTTGGCCTCTCTGTGGCTCAGAGAGAACACATGGTCAAAAAACATCAGACTCTGTGCCCTCCCCCTAAACCACCCCAAAAATCTCTGCTGAGGTGGACAGGGAAGGAGGGAGAATGGTGGGTTCTGGAGTGGCAGCCCCTCCCGCAGCATCTGGGAGAGACCAGGCAGGCAGGCGGCCGAGCATGTAAGTAGAGAAGCTGCCTGCCCTGGGCCACTGGCCGCTGCTGCCGCACTCTGAGTCCTCCGAATGAGGAGAGACCACAGCGGGAAGACTTCACGGGGAAACTCTGGGATTGGTGTTTTTCCACTTGTGAAGTCAGACCTGCCTAGGACATGGCCAGCAGGAGAGTTCCCTGGGGAGGTAGAGGAGGGCTGGAGCCCTTGGCAGGTGTCCCCACTGTGGGAAGAGGGGAGGCAGGGAACCTTGGTCTTCAGATCCCCCATCTCTGAGCCACGATGAAAGAACTAGAGGTGAGGGGCCCCCAGCCTCCCTGGGCTGACCCAGGTCTCAGGTTGGGGGACGCTGTTTGTGTGGTGGCCCCGGAGGCAGTGTCAAGCCTGGAAACGCTCCGCAGATCGGATCCTCTATCATTTCTTGGGAATCCACTCTAGGCCAAGCCCTGAGCAAGAGGAGCAGCAGCCCTTCCCACGTACGCGCAGCACTGAACGTCTATAGTCTCCTCCTTTAGTCCCCCAGCAGCCACTCCAGGTGGAAGCTGTTCTCACTCCCAGATGACAGAAGAGGCTCCTGGAGGTGCAGTGACTTGCTGCCTTTGCACTGCCGGAAAATCTGAGCCAGAGCCCAGGTCCTTAACCACGTCCAGGTGTGGCTGGGCCTGCCCTCCTGATGGGGGGCCCAGTCCTGCCCAGGTGGGTGGCTCCCCCAGCCGCTCCAGGCTCCCACTCGTAGCTGGAACTGCCCGAGACAGGATAGGGCCACAGCATGGGCCCCCCTTCACTCAGGCTCCTGTGGGGAGCCCGGGGGCCGCCCCAGCAGCGTTCCCACACTGTGGTTCCCTAAAGTCCCTGAGAGGCCGGCATGCCTCCCCTCCAGGTGCCTCCTACTCACACAAGGGCCTTTTGTGCGGGGGCTCAGCCTCCCCTTCCCCCACGCTGGCCAGCCACCCAGCCACACAGGTAGTGTGGCCCCCTACGCAGCCCATGTTCTGCCCAATGCTGTCCATCGGGCTGCCCCTCCCCAGGGATGTGGGCTCCTGGAACGTGAGGCGGAGGGGCAGGTGGTCCCCAGGAGGCCACTATGGTGTTGGGCCAGCTCTGACTAAAAGCCCATCACCAGGTTGGGCCTGCCTAGGCCCTGCCCACCTGCAGGGTCCCCTCTGCCCCTCACTAGTTAGCACTGATGACTGTCCTTCAGAGGCCAGCTAGGGAGGCCTTCCCTGACCCCAGCCAGTGCCACCTCCTCTGCTCTCTAGATTCTGCTGTACCCTCCCTGAGGGGAGGCCCTGTTTTTGTTCCCTGTATCCCAGAGCCCATCTTTTGCTGAGTGAATGGCGGAGGAGCATCTTGCACTCAGCCTCAGATGAACCTCAGCCAGAACCCGGGAGGCCTTGTGTGCCCCCAGCCCTGCCGGCGCCGTTCCCAGGGGGCTGTGTGTGCCACACCTGGCCTCCTTCCCTGTGGGGACCCGCTCCACCCTCCCTGACTCAGAAGTATGGCCTGGCCTGACTCAGGCGGGTATGGCCTGGCCTCCAGATGTGGGCTGTGAGCAACCCCCACGCCCTCATGCACCTGGGGGGTGAGCTGCCTCCCCCTGAGTTAGCCCTCCTGGTGGGGGTGGCGGGCAGGGTCAGGAAGGGCACAGACAGGCTCTGGGGTGGGAGGGGACCTTACACTTGGCCAGCCTGGCCACCCCTACAGCTTCAGCTCCCCTGAGCCTTATAAAAGATCACAGTTAAAAGCTCACACTCCAGTCAGGCAGCCCTGGGCCAGGGGCACCCGAACTGTGAGGCCACAGAAAGCAGCTTTCTCTCAGTTTCCTCATCTGTCCACCTGGGCATTCCAGAATGGACACCTCGCAGGATTGGGAGCACTTAGCTCCGAGGAGCCAGGTATGTGGTCCTTAGGGGCCTGGGATGCTTACTGGGGGGTGTTTCCCATTCTGCATTGATGAGGGGACCAGCATGAGCTCTGAGCTTCACCTGTAGTCTGCTGGCCCTTTAATCAGTAAAGTCATCATGGGGGAAGGAGGCAGGAACACCAGGGGTCTGTCTGGCCACAGAGGCAATCTGGGTAAGCTGATGGGGAGTGGGCGTTGGGTCAGAACAAGAGCAGCTGACATTCTGGGCTGGGGAGACCCCAGTAGGCAGCAGCTACCCTGCTTCCAGTCCACAGGATGCAGGGATGAGTGCCTCTGCCTGAGCCCCATTCCACCTGTCCAGCAATGAGCTGGCACTGGGGCTTGGGAAAATGGCAAGCTGTGGGCTGTCAGCTCCAGGGGGCTCTGCCACCAAGAACAGATCAGAGAGCCCCCAGAGGGGACCAAGAGGGCACTGACTGACTGGAGGGGGCCGGTGACAGGGCAGCAGGAGACTAGCTCTGCCCCTAAATAGCTTCCCAGATCCCTTCTCACCTGTGGGCTTTTTTTCTTAGCAGCCCTGCTTCACTTTCTGGAGTTGTTCTGAGCACGTGTTGTGGTTCTGTGTTGTTCTGTTTGTTTTAAATGGGGAAGCTCTTTTAACAGGTTCTGGGAGCGATTCCGCCTGTCTGGGTGCGTGTGCATTGGGGGTGGGAGTGTCTCGTTGGGGTCATGGCTGCCCTGGCCCTTGCAATTTCAGCAGCCCTGAAGGACCAGGGGCCTAGGCTTTGATATCTGATCTGCTGACTCGAGGCAGGGAGGTGGGCCCTTTCCCTCTGCAAAGGGTGTGGGGAGAGTTCTGGAGGTAGCCCTGGGATTTGAGGGGGGGGGAGTGGAGGCAGGAGGGCAGAGTGTCCAGGGCCTCCCCTCCACTTGGACTCGCCTGGGCCTGGCCCCACCACAAGGGCCCTCCAGGGGACAGTGCTGGGATGGGGCTTTGGGGTCTGACTGCCTGCATTCGCAGCCTGGCTGCGTGACAGCCTGGCCACAGCCCTTCGCCTCAGTTCCCATCTGTGAAGTGGGGGAGGCTGGGTACAGCGCCTGAGTCTCAGGGCTTGTTTAGTTTGTATTTGGAGGACATTCTAGGTGGTCAGTAAACACTACCTACTGAGGGTGTCACCCATAAAACCTGAGTCTTGCCCTCCGCATGCATGGGGTGAGGATGCCATGGTGTGAGAGGGGCTTCATGCAGATTTAGGCACAGACAGGAGGCCCCCTGGGCCCAGGGTGAGGCCTCTACGCAAAGGCTGCCCCCCCATCCTCAGGCGTGGAAGAACAAGAGAACCTAGAGAGAGCAGCCTGGGGGGTGGGAGGAAGGTGCCTTTAGTTCTAGAAGGGGGTGGGGGGAAGTGAGCTGTCCTTCGGCCGGCAGTTCAGCATGTGATGGGGGAGGAGGGGGAGCAGAAGGAGGGGCTCAGTGAGTAAGGACATCATCATTTCAGCTCTCAGGGGGACCCAGAGTGTCCCCACCCACCCCCAAGTGTGGGACATCTGGAGGCACCCACTCATAGGCCCTGGATCAGGCAGGGACTGGCAAGTGAGTGGAACCCTGGGCCTTCGGGTGACCACATGAGACCTCAGGCTGGAGCATCTCCTGTGCCTGGCCAGTGGGGAACAGGAATGGGCAAACAGAAGCAGGCACACGTCCCTTTCCGTACCCGATGCTGCGGAGTGGGTACAGGGGTCTGGAGCTGCAGATCTGACCCCACAGCTCTGGGCCTCTGGCTCCCAGTGCCGGCCCGCCAGGGTGAAGCACTGCCGGCCAGGCCTGGCAGCAGCCCAGCCCAGGAGTCTGCCAACCCCCCAGGCAGGCGGGACCATGCCGGCAGCCAGGACAGTTGGCTCCAGTTTCGCTGACGTGTCTGAGGAGGCTCCGGGCCCGGGCTGGGTCCAGCAGTCTCCCCATCCCTGGGGAGAAGCAGCCCTTGGCCCAGCAGGTTGGGGTCTCTATCCTGGACCCTCATGGAAGGGGCTGAGGGGGCTGAGCCTCAGGTTCCTCGGAGATAGCCCTCTTGGGGGGTGGTCCTAGCCCTGCCCTTTGACTGGTGGTGGGGGTACCTACCAGTCTTGGCGTCTCTGCTTTACTTACTCCATCACCAACACCCCCAGCGGGTTCTACTCACGCTGTGGATAAGTTCTGACACTCCACACCATGAACTCATCCGGGCTTCCCTTCTGTCTCCCACCTATAGGGCTTCTCAACTCCAGCTGCACATCAAAATCGCCAAGAAGCTTTAGAAAGTTCCTAATGCTCATGCCACACCCTCCCCCGGCCAATTAAATAAGAATTTCTGGGGTGAGACCCAGGCAGAGTTGTGTTTTAGAGAAGCTCCTTGGGTGGGTCTCCTGTATAGCCAGGCCTCAGATCCTGGGGCAGAATATTGCAAAGGGGGATAGTCTATACATCAGCCCGTCTCCCTGTCCAGGGAAAAGTCTAGATCCCTGAGCAGGTATGGCCAGCTGGCAGCACCAGAAGAGCAGGAGCTGGACCTCCTCCCCCTTCCCTACTCCATGGCAGGAGCTGCCTGGCCCCAGGTGGGTGTCTTCTGTG